AAAATTACTTAGCTGATATTATTTCTTTGTTCACTAGCAATTACAGTTAAATGATTAACTTATGTATGTATACGCTAGTAATAAGAGAATTAATTATTGAACTTCTGACACAATTTAAGCTTAATCTTACATGTATATACTTCTCCGTAACGAATTTATTTTCTCAAAAAACAAAATTACTATTTGTTCTCAATTTTTCAAATATAAATTTAATAGCACACTGTCTTAGTTTTATTTAGTACTTCATACTAAGCACTTAGTACTTAAACATTATTGCTATACTTTGTGGCACTGACCAATACGATATTTTCCACGAACATTTTCTAAGCCAGTTCAAAAATTATTGTTATTATATTACATGGTACATTAGGGCGAATGACATCATCAAGGACCTCAAGATTATTCCGATAAAAAAATACATTAAGCATTGAGCCCTAAAATTAGGACTCAGATGCGAATCTCAGAATGGTTATAGGCTGCTCGATGAGGTATGCAGATCTGAGGTAATTTATTGCTTAGTCTGATGAATTGATAAACAATAATCCAGTCAAGGTGTAGAGAGGGGTTATGAAGAAACCTCGCAGTTAATAATGAGTAAATGTGCTTAAGTGTACTGACTCAACTAGCCTCAACATAATAATAAATTACAAATAAAATATTAAGATAAATAAAAAATTCAGATATATATTAAAATCCAGAAACTACAAAATTAATAAATATTTTTACTATGGAAACGACCTATCAAGATTCTATTAAAGTAAATCCATATCACTCACTGTAGCAACTGTTCAATTTTTCTTTTTATAAATTTGTTAGTTCTTTTTCAAATATTTATTTATTAATATTATTAAGCAAGTCTTAGGTAAACTTAGTTTCACTTTAGTTTTTCTGATTTATAATATTTTCACATAAGTGTTAAGTGTTACTCATACGTCTTCTCATTAAAAATGTATTTAGTTGTCTTTCAATTAAATTATGAAATAAAAAACTATAATTGTAGTTACAATATAATAACTATTAAAAAGCTTTTACTTAGAAATAATTTTCTAATGGGAATTATTGAATAATTACATTCCCTTAATCAATTAATTGCTGCTCATATGACTACTCAATAATGTTCAAGATAAAAAGTTCTCACGTTGCAAAACTAGCCAATCTTAACATATGTCTACATATTTGCTTAGCAAAACACAAACTACTTTTAAAAATAAATTCCTTTTTATTAAAATCTAGTAAATCCATATAAATTTAAATATTAAAACATTGCATTTTAAAGATATTTAGACGTACGCTGTCAAAGCGGAACAAACGATAAATATGTAAATTTTATTCTGTGCACTCTTCCAACGCTTTGTATGCATTTGAGCAGCTTTATGTGAAATATTTTTGTGCGCTCTCCATTTGCCTAATCGACAAAAACAACGTCGTAGCAAACTTAACAGGTGTTATTTACAACGCAGTAAGCTTTTCACCACACAAGTATTTCTCAACATAAAATATTACCTGTTCACTATACATTGACGCATTTGTTTTACCCACTGTGGTGAGCTTTAGTGTCACATGCATTTCATTGAAAAATAAACATGAAACGTGTTTGTTGTTTTAAGCTTATTTCCATATGCAGCCAAGATGAATATTACGTTTTATTCGTGAATTTTTTTTGGATAAAATATTTATAACTAATGAATGATTTTATATTTGCCAAGATAAGTATATATATGTTATATTACGATTATTCGTCATATCAATTCGTAAGACAAACTAAATGCTCAAAAATATCCATTAAACTTAAATAAACTACTTATCACGGTCTTAAAGTAAATGTAGTAAAAATAAAATCCCTAGAAGTGAACGCAAATGACTATATAAACAATATGTGTAACTACCGCATAAGGTTCTTAAAAATATTTTCCTACTGCGGCAGTGTTATAACTACAGATGAATTTGCAAAAGATATAGACAGTGCATAGTAGCTGCGCTAGCTAAAACCATATTTTTCCTTTGCCCGATTCATAAATCTTTGGAACCCTAATTTCATCTCGGCAGAAACTGGACTAGAATGCGCAGTGACGTGACGCTGTAAATGGAACGTTCTTAGAACGAGGTGAAACGTTTAGCATAAAGCTGTTCTAAGGACAAAAGTCCTTATCTCCCAAGAATCTAAAGCAATCGATAATAAAGTTAAATAACGTTCGTTTAATGAATTTTAAAACTCTTATTTTCCTTAAAGAAATTTGTTTTAAACTTGAATATCTTCAAATCGTTCACTTGTTTTTCAAATACCAAAAATGTTAATCAATGATCTTACCATATATATGGTTTAGTATGCAATGCTATTATACACATCTAATAGTACAGGTACAGGTATAGAATAAATAGATGATGTTTTATTCTCTTTTCCAAATTTAAAAAGAATCCACCCACTCCGAAGACCACTTTAGACTACATCTTTAAACTTTTCAAATTAAAGTATTTTTTAAAGTTTAAAGTCAAATATTTTAATTAATAACTTATAAGTATTAACATAATTATAGCTAAATCAAATCAATCAATCAAATCAATAATTGGAATTAAAAACAGCCACGGCTACAGCCAAATCAAAACAAACTCTTCCATTTAATAGTGGCCGCGCCGAACACTTACCAAAAAGCGCATCGAATCGGCAAATCCTACAAACGCAAACAAAGTCGAATTTTTAGTAGCAAATCGAAAACGAATTTTCATGGCTAACTGCTGTGAAAAATTACTCGTATTTCTGTCTAAAACCTAAAATAATTTTTAAGTGTTGAACTGTCAGAAATTGTTTTTTAATTAAAAAAAACAAAAATATTTCTGCACACATTTCGAATGTATCTTCGAGATTGGCTTGAAATATTACGTCCGGAAGCGACGAATGCATTCAAATAATTTTGAATTTTTGTTTTTTTTTTATTTGATATTACCAAATTTTAAATTTGAAATTTGCGCCAATTAATGGTTTCACACGTTTTGTTATTTTAATTGTCATTTTAACTGTCATTTTTATTTCAAATTTAAGCCGAGACTTGAGCGCTAATTGTGACCAGAATTTGTGGTACGTAAACATTGGCGATTATTGCTTTTTATGAGAACCTCTCACCGTTGTCATTAATTTGTATCTATTGCTTTGGTTTTGTATTTCAGGGTAAGCTTGGCTTCAAAGTTTTCACAATAAAAATATTTCTTCAATTAATTAAGTAATAAATTATTTATTAAAGTTAAAACGAATGAAGATGCAATTTAAGCGTGTATGGCTTTTTTATAGCACATTTTTAATTATTCTGACCTTTAAACAAAGCCGCAAATATTATAAATAATTAATCAATTAAAATTTATCTCTCTGCCTTGATTAGAAATGAAGTTGTCATTGAGATACAGATAATATTTTTTTAATTTTTATGAAATTAAATTCGGCTAATTCGGAAATATGCTGTACATTTGTAGCATTTGCCTTTCTCTTTGCCGAAAATGTAGCTACAAAATTGTTAACCGGCACTTTACGAAGCAATTAAAATTACTTTAAGTATTTGCCTAATGCTCTTATTAAGGCAGCCGTGCATTCTACGACAACGCTAAAGATACATGTTTTTATCGTTGGACTCGACTCACGATTTGAGCCAAATTTTTATCGCTTAAACTCAGTGCAACAAAGGAATGCAATGCAACGCTTGCACCTTTACATTTGGCTCAGTTTGGTTCTGCATAAATCGCGCCTCTTACATTCGCCAGCACAAGCATTTCCGATCAAGCGGGCATATTTGTTGTTCGTTGTTTGTGTAATAAAACTTGTAATAAAAAATAACACCCAAGATACAAAACCTAATAATAAAATCTTATGAAAATTGCTGCACAGTAGTTGCCAATTCGTACGAAACTGTTACCCTATCCATATCCGATAATTTGAACACCAAATGAGCGAACCTAAACTGTGGAAATTGTATCTGCATCGGGCAAAAATGAAGGCATTCCTATTTCACTACAATGGATACCGTTGACCATTGTTGTTCTTCCAGTAAAAGAATTTTACAGTTCCAATAGCAAAACAAAAAAATCTTACAAAATGAACAAAATGGTTCAATAGGAAGTTATTCCTGTTCTTAGCCTCGAGAAATAGTAGTGAATTCGTTCATCTATACTTGTCCGCCTAAGGTTGACAAACATTTTTATAATTTTTACTAAGTTTTTTTTTGTTTTGTTGTTGCTTTCTCTATTTCGATTACACGAAAGTTCATTGAATATCGTTCTGAAAAATAAATTTTGTTGTTCATTCATGTATGTGGCAAGAGATGACCAATGCACTTTACTCGTTCAACAGGCCTAGGCCTGGTTAAGGCTTCGATAAGGAAAAAATGCACAAAAGAGTTTGTGAAGTGTATCAGTGTATCAGCTTGTACATACGTATATGCTTATGATAAATTATTTTGTTAGAACATTTCTATAAGAAATTAACATTTCTCAAGTCAATGTTGGCGGCTATTGGGTTTTTTGAAAGTATTATTTATCTTGTTTGCTGATAATATATTATTAGAATTCATCTATTTTGAGTTCAGGAAATGTCATACATAAAATTAAAGAAAAAAAAAACAAAATATTATCAAAATATGAATAGTGTTACTACTACTATACACTATTAGAGGTAAATTATTAAATTATCGTATATGCCTTGATTCTTATTTCCTCGAGCCTTCTTAATATATTATTTTACTACAGAATTTAAATTTTTCAAAAATTAGTTTCCAATAGGAGTGATCCAATTTTTTGGCATTGGATAAATATGGACTCAAAAATCATCTCCTGTAAACAGGAGGATTTTCGACTGCCATTTTTAATTTTACAACAAGTTATGTTAAAATAAGCAATCAAACACTTCATAATCAACTCTAATGCAGGTAAAGGATCTTCTCTTCAGTGCCGGTATATTGAAAATTCCGTTTTGGGAGTGACAAAATGCGGATGAAGTATCCATTCTTGATTTGGCCAATGGCATATAGATCAAATTTATCCCATTTGTCATTATTTTGACAGCATGTATACCAAATAGGAGTAAGTTGCAGAAGTTATGTTTAAGTTATTAAAAATTTTTTATAAAGAATATTTTTTTTTTATAAAAAAGATAACAGACTATAATTTTACTATATTTTATTTTTTCAAAATATAAAATATATGTAACTTCATGAAGTTTCCAATAGTTCCCATATAAAATATGATTGTTCATTATTTGAATTAAGAATTTTTTACTTAGGGCAATAAGATTTACTAATGAACAATCAAAGTTTTCCACTTTATTCATTAGTCTAATTAGTGACCCTTGAAATTCATACTTTTACTTAATCCTTTATCAACATTGAGAGATCTAAGCGCAAACTCAGAACAAAAACTTAAAATTCTGCGTTTCTGTTTTACCTAAACATTTGGACTGTGTATTTTAATATTTTTTTTTTGTTTTTATTTGATAAAAACCGTATTGATACCCATCAAAATCGTCAATCTTCGAATCACTCACTTCTATTATTTTATTTCCTTTCGCAATCTTTCGAATTTTACAATTCATATTTTCATTTATTATTATATATATTTTTTTTCTAATTATTTTAATACACAGACAAAGCCCAAATTTATCACAACGATGGGTTAGCTTAAAAACCAAGAGTAGATTTTAATGCCCTATGGGCATTGCTTCCAACGCTTTGGTAAGAGATTTTGAATATCTGAGCAATTAATCAAAAGTGTTGACAATGATCAAATTCTTGAAAAAGGCTGGATATCAAAAAAAAAAAAATCTATGAATAATATTCGACATATTAATGAAGTTGTTCCAAAATGTGGCCGCACTTAAGGTGTCAAATTTTTACCTTGACATTCTTAAGTGTTCACATTAAAGTTTATTAAGAACGTCAGTGAAATATTTTAGTTACAATTTTTATATGAATTCATTTCAAAAAAATTAAAAACATGTGTGATAAGTAGAGATGGCTTTATTACTTTCTGATTTAAAAAATTTTGCAATATCATTGAAAAATTTTTCTTCAAGTTTTCTAATCATTTTTAAATTTCTCTAAAATGCTAATTAATTTAATTTTAGGAATTAATAGATTAGTATCATTATTACTGACAACTTTGAACGCAATCCTGAATTGGGCCATGTTAAACCAGTGATGGCACTATTTCTTAAGCTAACTGGAAAGTAGTTGAACGAACTCTGCTCAAGATTTACATGAGGGTCATCGGTTATCGTTTACTTTGATCAAACCTCTGTGTATCTCTACAACAATGCCTATAGACGAAAGGGAGGTGGCATATAACTGTTTTAGTGGATCAAATTCAACAATATTCGGCTATCATCATTAGTCATAGTATAGGCGAACAACACTGTCTTGCGAGATGGTGATGATAAAGCCCTTAAGAGCAACTTACGTGAAGCACTTGTCGTTCTGAACAAACAATTACTCGCCTCCACTGATTCGAATTATCCCAAGATGTCATCGCATAATTCAGATTTGTACGGTAAGCGAACATTTACGACCAAAAAGCTGTTCTCACAAAAATATACCCAAACACATAATGTCGTTTCATTCGGCTATCTAATACTTAGTGTTTAGTTAACGATGCCAGTAACCCACTTATTCCATTAGAATTCATCTTAATATGTCTTTAACTATTACGATTGCAGTCAGTGATAACTAATTCAACATATCCACCTATCTATCTTAATTTCCATTACTTTTTACACTGTAAAGTATGAAATATCGCTTATTCATAAACCAATAATATATTCGTTCCACAGTTAGGTTAGCTCGATTCTTGATTGCAAGGTGGTCGTAATATTAAGATTAGTACTAATACAAGATTATTTGTATTTGTAATTCAGATGTAAATAAATTTAAAACTGATTGATGTTATATATTTATTACAGAAGAGAGAATATATATGTCAAAAGTATTAAAAAAGAAATAATTTGTTTTCCACTGTTCTCAAAGTGCTACAGCGCGGGTGTTTAATTAACAACCTACGACATCTGTTTCCAATAAAGTTAAAAGCCTTGTTAAGAACGTTGGCTAATAAAACAACATAATCAAGCTCAGATTTTGGACCACAGATTCACAAAAAATTCAGTAATTCTTTCACGAACTTTCTTTTTAAATGATTTAAGCTCGGCTTATGCCGGAAATGTGCTAATTTTTTATTTTTATTGAGTATTTGCTAACAAATATTTAAGAGCTAATAAAATAAAAATCGCGCGTTAAAATCAGTAAATAAATTAAGTGACGAATTGATTGATTTCTTATGTTACACTGACTTCTCCATTTTTTTTCGATGATTTATAAATTTAACATAAATTCGCAGAAATCAACACCAGTTGGTATCTCAAATAATTAAGTGCATGAATTATGTATGTCAATCTGGAAGATATTTACAAGTTAAGAGCCAATGCAAAAATTGTTAAAAATGTGTCAACTTCTCATAGCAAAAATCTATTGAACGATCTCGTTTATTATTTAAGCTCCAGATTACCTCACACTATCTTCAACAACATCGTATTGAAGTGTAGCTGAAATGCGTGCTTGAGTAAATTAGATCGCGCATATTAATTATTTTTTAAACTCTTATCTTAATCTACAAAATTCTGTTAGTTGTTGACTTTCCTGACTTTGAACGTTGATTAATCGTGAAAATATTAAGTAATTTATTCCTAAGCAGCAGTCAATGAGACAATCTCATCAAAAATAAATTAAATATTTGCCAATGATAAAGCAAATGATATCGTCGAAAAACATATAGCATGGAAATTCATACTTGATTTTTGAAAGAATTTCTCATGACCTTATTTGCATAAAACCTCATCCATTCACACCAAATAATTTATGCCTCCTCCAAATTAATTCGAAAGAAGCAGAAGGTTTATATACGTAGAAGCGTACTAAGCACCATGACAGCTTTAATTTCAAAAATTCATAATAAAAATATAAAATTCATATGTGAAAGTAAACGAAAACATTTGTGACTTAAGCAACTTAAGATTTTTGTTAATATTCTTGCTGAGTTTTCTGCTGATTTTATTTGATTTTATCGAAAATTAATATTCCGCGTTTATACGCAACCAATCAATAAGAGCCGTCAAACATTACATGCTTTTTTGGGAACAGTACTGGGCCGTCACAATACGTAAACAAACTAAAAAAGTATTTAAAAAGGTAATTAAAACATTACATCGAACCAAAATGTCAAAATAGGCGTTACTTCTGGTCATCGTTCGCTTCAACAAGGAAGTACAAGCAATTATTTTAAAATTTTGATGCAGAGTTTTTACTTGACCCACCTTGTTTGCTCCTTGTTATTTTCTTATTTTTAAACTGTAATTACCGATTAACCTGATAGCGCTCCAGTTATCACCAGGCGTTACAATGATTTCACGATTTCGGTAGAATAAATAGATACCGTAAAGCTTCAATAAAAATTGAAAGTCAGATGATTTTTTAAGAATTTTTAACCGATTATGAGACGACAACTCTACATTTCTCGATATTTATCAAAGATTTATTGGAATAGTTAAGCAATTAAATTTGTTCCATGAATCATTTCATGCGTAGTAATAAATATTTGAGGCCCCGTTATATTAATAAGATTTTATAATGTAATAATAATCAGTCTCCCAAAGACAGCAGAAGTTCCAGGGAAGAGAAATAATCGATAACTTTTCTTTGGAATATATGGGTTATGGGTGGACCCAGACAACATACCACATCAGCATCTTAAAATAACAATCATTTGTTGATTAAAAATAGACACATTTGGCTATTCTTTATGCCTACCATTTAAGATTTCTATAAAGACTTAGGTCTGAGGAAAACGCCTTGCAATATCAATAGTAGGCAACATTAGCATAGTTAGGCATATTGAATTTCAACAGCTTCGCTGGTTTGACCGCTTTGTCATAGTGGCTGTGAATATATCGGTTAGAAAAGTTTTTGATTCGGTATCGCATAATAGAACACGAAATAGAGTACGCCTGCTTCTTCAAAAAAGTATCCAGTGACAAATGATTTGAGAGCGGAGGCCTCCAGACCTGACCAAAAACAATCTTAGGCTGTAATAGCCAACTAAGTAAGTAAGTAAGCTTTTTGTCATATTCAAGAACGTATTCTTCAAATGTAATATGAAATATCATTTCTACAGCATTTCCGAGGGCTAGGAGTAAATGCCATTTCATAATTTTATCTTATCAATTTTAAAAGGAATGATTATATCAGTACCAAAGTATTGGATTTGGAAACATTTTATTTTCAAAAATAGATAAAATTAAATATTTTAGATTTGATTTTATGTGTGAAGGGTATTGAAACTTCGGTAAAACTATGCAAACTTTTATCTTCCTTCTTACATTTTCTTATAAATAGTAGTGGAAAAAACATTTGTACATTATTGTGTATATTTGAAGTAAAACGTGGGCTTTTCATTCATTTCCACAATTTGCTGCTCCTGGCTTTGGTTGCTCTTGCATATCTCAGTGTTCGATCTTAACGACCGGATTAAGGAGCCGTTGTATTTGCCATTAAGTAAGCAAAATTTGCGCTTTGCCAAAACTTATTAACGCTTACATTTCTGAGTTAGAAACTAGTTTAGATTGTATAAATTAAAATTTAACTACTACAAAATTGAGTCTCACTTTTTCTATATTTCTTGCATTTTTCCCCCTTAAAGAAAAACTATTTTAATAATTACGTAAAATGGCTTTAAAAGGTAAAAGAACTGACAGATCCGAGCTCGAAGCATTGCGTGAATGAGTCACAGTCTGAGTTTTACAAAAATAGGAAAAATAATGCAAAACAGTAATCGGGTAATTCATAAGTCTGGATTAGCGGTCTAACTTGAAATTGGCTTAATTTTGTCTGGATTGACGTAAAATGGGCACAAAGTACTTCGGGGTGATATGAAATATGTACAAACGCTTTGTGCATTAAATAACGCCACTAAAATTGGTTTCCATGGAGTCTTACAACTGTTTTGCTCAGCTGAATAAAGCTGAATAAAAAAATAAATTGTATTCTTAATTTAAGTAATTTCAATAATTGATTGAACGTATTTTTTTTTTTTTGATTTTCCATGTAAATACTTCGACCAGGTACTCATACGACGAATCACGTATTATGTTAAGGAACGCTGTTTGCATGTCAGTTTATTTGACTTATCATTTCAAAGGTGCAGAGTGCAACTGCTCAAATTATTGCCCCAAGTGACAACAGAGCTCGATTCACGCACCCACTACCGCGTTTCCCGTATGCCATTTCATAATGAATTTGCCAAAAACCAAAACCCGAACAAAAATTTAAGCGTTGTACATGCTTTGCATAAACAAACAGAAACTAAAATCGCTAAAATCCAAATTTGTAGCGAAAAAGACCACTTGATATGCCGAAAATGTTACTTTTCACCCATCGAACTCACACATGAATTCTTAAGCAAACAAACTGCACATAAGTCAGGCCTCGTTTGAGCCACTTGAAGGCAAATTCTGAGCGTGATATTGAAATCAAGATTATAATTCTTGTCCGTTTGTGTGTTTTTGATGCACGTAACACTAAGCCCGGCTTGCGCTTACTTTGACCCGAACTCAATGCTAGTAAGCCGCAACCGATAACAGTAGTTTTCGTACGAGCTCAAGTGAGGCAACACCTTGTGGTGTATTCAGAAACTCATCAATCATTGTTAACAGTGAATAAATATTAAAGTCAGATACAATTGAAATTTAATAGCAAAAGCAGCAGCAACAGCAATAACTGTAAAGATAATGCCTCTCTAAAGATTTGGTTTGATATGAAACATAATCGGCATGTGCTAAGGTTAAAGAGTTTGTAATTACAAGCTGAGGTTAGTACTCGAGTGGCAGATTTAAAAAATAATTATTTGTACAATACTTCTCGAAATACAATACAAACATTCATACATTTTACTAAATACCAAACAAACATAAACTAATTATCAATAATTTGACACTTTAGACGAAGTGTAGTCGGTACAAGAACTCATTTAACAGACTATTATATTTATCTCGGGCAAAACTTATTGAATTTCATTTTATACTTTAAACGTGTGCTATAATAAGCAAACAACTTAGGTTCAGAAGCCCTAAAGAACCTCATACATTTATTAAATCTTATCTTTTTATAGTTAGTTTTATCCACAAAACTCATCAAATTTTATTCGTTTTCCTCGGAAAGACTAACACAACATTGTCGGGTACATACACATAAGGTCAAAATGCCCGAGAGCGATAATTACAGAAAACACGATTTTGGTATAATCCAGTACAACATTCTAGAGGACATAAATAAACAAAAAACAGCCGCAATTCTTAAACTAATGGTCGAGGTTAAAATTGTCTGTTAACTGGACAGAGAATCAAGAAGTCTAATCACAAGTCTAATTGTCATTGTCAAGGAGTTTGCGGTCTATGTATTATCTATCAGTGGGAATCTTTATACCTCTTCTGGTTTAAAAGAATGGCAGTATACTCATACGAAACAAAGCAAAGCAAAGAATTTGAATGGATATTTCTCCCTGTGTCTCATAAAACTGCAGATATCAGCATCTTTGAAGGTGGTTGCTTTGGAGGTTATTACTATAACTGTACATGTACAGTTAAATATCTACAAATTGATTTGAATTTGGATTCATTAAAACCAGGAAACTTGTCAGCATTTCTTTTGTTAAAAATAAATGAGCTGAAATCCCTATCGTCCCTTATATCGGCACTAGATTTCTCAATTTGTTTATATTTGATATTTCAGACACAGTTGACAAATGAATTCCTACTATATCTATACCTATCCTGCTAAGAAAATGTTGGTTTAAGTGAAATCTTAATTACATTCAATGGGTATGTAATCATGTTTATCCACAAACAACGCACAACTAATTGCGGTAATATTGTCTGATAAGTATTTTTATAATGTATTTGAATATCACAATTTGGAAGTAAAGTGTATGTTGACCACGTTCGCTATACACAATAAACTGAATTCTAAGCCTCAGACAACCATGATCAAGAAATTAAGATATAAAGTAAAAATTAAAAATATATTTAATTGTTTTAGGATTTCATTTCTGTTTTAAAGGAAATAAGTAAGTTACAAATTATAACACTTGCTGCAGGGTAGTTATGATTTTGAATTTCATAAATCACTCCTTCGCCATTACAGGTTGATAATTCAGGCTTAAAGTCTTGAGCCAGACAGTTGCAAGATAAGATAAAACTTACAAAATGAGATAAAACTCATTCCTGTTTTTACACACCTCGACTTGATCTCGTTTCTTCCCTCTGAATATGCGCGTCTCTATCTTCCTCATCTCTCAATATTGTGCACGCATGGTTCGCGTAGCTGACCTGACAGCAGGGTCCTTTTATAGATCGCGTTCTTTGCAGCAATAGTTTAGTATCACTCCTCCTCTTGGAAAGCGGGAACTAACAAAAACGGACTATAAAGCTAAAATTATATATATTTAAAAAAAAAATAAACTATAAAAGAGAAAAAATAAATCCAGCTGTGCTTGCAGGACATATAGGTCTTTGGACTTATTCCCCCTTGCAATAAATGAATAAATCAATATTAAATATATTTTTTGGAAATCATTAATCAAATTTGGCCATCCAATGATTTCACTAAAACAAAGCCTTTAAACCTGAATACAGAAGTTTTTTCTACAAAATAAAAGCACAGCTCTTACCATTAACCCTCATTTTATTATGCTTAAAACATCAGATTTCTAAAATCAATAAACATTTAATTAAATAATTAAAAATAGAATCTGAAATATTAACTATTTTTCTTTTATTAATAAAAAGATTGCAATTGATTGTACAAAAGTCGATCATAGGAGGATGAAGTTTTTGCTTGAATAATTTATGCAATAAAATCGCGCATTTTCATGTTTTATTGAATGTTCGTTGCAGAATTTTATTGTTTAATAACTTTTTATATGAAACACAATAATTGCATCATTTTCCATAAATTATGCACCGCTGCATAAAGCAGTTTAGTGCAAATTGCATTTACTTTCATTTGCAATAGGAATTTCACTTTCTGACTTACTGAAGCGAGAAACTGAGCTATTGTAGCGCACGATAATTTAAATATTTATTAACTATTTATTAGGGTATCTCGTACTGGACTCTCCTTCGTATATTGGCAATAAAATTAACATGAATTATTATTTCAGACAAGTATTTAGAAATCTCACTTACAAAGGCCTATATAAAAATTTCATAAGAAAATATTACCAACTTATGAAAGGCGCAAATACGTTACAAAAAAAAAAATTTTTTCCGAATACCTAACATGAATTTTTAAATAATATATTTAAATCAAAAATAATTTCGTTTTAGAAATATCAGTGTATAACATGCAATTCGTTTAGAAAATATGAGAGTTAAAGAATCGATTGACACATCAAAAGAAACACCAGAACAACAGGGTGTACGCATTGAGACAAGCCGTGTTTGCCAAATACTTTGTCAAGAAATTCTCATGTATTTTGATAACATTTGTAACACCATTAAAGAAGTTTATATATATGCAGTGGCGGAGCTAGACCAACTCTGCACGTCGGCGACATCAGAATTGCGAGGCCCCCTTTATAACCCAGTTGTAAAAGTAAATAAGTTACATTCACTAATACGACAAAGCATGATAGAAAGTTTTATTGCTAATCAATTTAAAATAAACACAAATTAAAATAAATGAATTTTCCTACTTTTAGTATTACCCTATTTTTTTTTTAAATTATATCATAATGAAGATAGTCTCTCTTGGACCATCATATTTTTCTAGTACGTCTTAAACAATTTTAACTTTGCTTCTTTCTTTTCGTCGAAGCTATACTGTCTGGAACTGTGAACATGAATCTGATTAGTATATAAACATTAGGGAATACTTCGAATATATTTAATGCCATTATCAAACCAAATTGCTCAAAATATATATTAAGTACTTAGAATCCACAGTCGGTAACTTTTTGCGAGGTCTCTGCGGGCGCGAGGCCGTCGGCGGTCGCCGACATCGCTGACGCCTAGCGACGCCACTTTATATATGTTTCGAATGCAGTTTAATATTTATTTCAATTATGCAGTTATGTTACAGCTGCACATCTATAAAACGTCTAGATGAGATCTATAAAAGTTATTAATAGAATTACGGTCGATTTTAACTTTTTTATGTAGAATAATTTAAATCAAAAAAGAAAAGAGAAAGAGCTATTTTTCCTGATGCATGTTTCAAGCATATAATCTTTATCAAAAATTAAAACTAATTCCAAAGACAGACTTAGACTGGAGTATCACAAGACTGAGTTACAAGTCCAAGTGTTACTCGTATGATAGATAGAATAATAATTTGGACAGTAGATGGAATAATTAAAAAAGGAAAAAAATAAAAAAAAATTGTTTATCATTTCTAATGCAGTTGAACGATTATACGAACATTCAGACTTTTCATGAAAAGGTGCACATTTAGGGGAGTCGGGACTAAGAAATAGATCCCTGCGACAATATAATCTACAGAGTCGTTTCTGGAATATGCACTTCTTGACTCTTTGTAATTCTTTCAAATACATTTAGAAAAATATTCTCTGGTTTACACAGAGCGAAGCGGAAAGGTACTACCATATTACTATGATACTTGACATTATCCTCACATTAACAGTACTTTTCCTTGGCGTCTGAAATTTATGATTTTCCCTAGTATTTTAACTTTTATGAGTTTTCTGTCGTCGACAGAAATTGGCACGTTTTGCGTATAAAAGTTGTAAAATATTCTTCGCAATTTTATAGCAGATTAAACAAAGTATCAAACAGCGTTTCCCAAACGAAACTTATTCACATCTCAGTATATTACGGACATATTATTGTACATAAAAAGTAAGTGTAAAAGAGGATTTAGATATTCTGATAAATCGAAAAATAAAAATTTGAATTATACGAGTTGAATTGTAGTTTCTATATTAGGCATATCACTTCTTCGAATAAATATTCCGAAAAGTAGACTGTGCTGGAATTGTCACAATAAAAAAGGTATAGAATTAATTAATCAAGTAAATTCAATATTTTTAAGACCGTTTCTTCAATGAACTGACAGAGATAACGAAAGTTCTTAGTTCCAGCTGTTCTTACTTTTATTTGGGAGAGTTAATGATATAACAAGAATAATATACGGAGACAATAACGGTTAGTATGACTTGCTTTTTCCATGCAATTTTAGGACATCACAATAGGCAATAGATGTCTTGGAGTGGTACTACAGGTAAATTCATCAGGGTGTTCCCTGTATATACATATAGTCATTTATAGTCATATATATAGATCGTATATAGTGCTAAAAATATTATATATTTGAATATTTATTTTTTGAAGTACAATATACAAGCTTTAAAAATATAGTTAATAAATGTTCTGAATTTTAATAAAAAAACTTTATTGATTGCAATTTAAGAATCGCTGGAAAATGAAACTTATAATAACAATGTATCAGTGGAAGCACAAGTGGCAATCAAATCAAAGCAACAAGATGATGAGTAAGATATTCTAACAAGTAGGCAAAAAAAGCTTAAAGGATAACAAGGGTGCTTATATCAAAAAGCACAACAACAAACATATTTAGCCAACTAAACGCACTCATGGGGAGTTTTAAGGGGTCTTGTGATATATAAGAATGGACGACCTTACACTGATTTTTGAACCCGCTCAGTTTACAACGAAAATAAAATTGAATGGAAGGCATGAAATCAGCTTTATAGAGCTTTATGGTTGGTCGGTTTCTGAATGAATTGTGTGAAAGCTTTTCTAACGGTTTAATTGTTCAATAGCTTTTCGAAATGAAGCCTCAAAAATTCCTCGCAGCTTTGCCCAATAATGTATGTACTAAGAATTTTCAGTTGTTTTTAGTTGGTGTTTGAGTTGAAAACTCAGCCCGCAAGGATATTTCTAGTGTTTTTTTTTCGTACATTTTTAATAGTTAAAACAAATTTGCAAAAACTATAATTTGTTATGCTTATTACGATTGCTTATAAATGAAACTTATTAATAATTTATTAATAATTTGTAAAGAATAAATGAAAATGAAATTGATGTGAAAATCTTCCATTGAAGTCTTTGACGAAAGTGATTGCAAGTGGAGCAAAGACTTCAGAGTGACACATTCATTTAATTTTTAAGTATTTTGTTTCTCTTAAAATAATTTATTATAAATAAATTGCAAGTAAAAAAATACTATTTTGTTTAAAATAAAAAGCCTCACATAAAGGTCAAATTATCGACTTTAAATACTTGAGCGTTTTTTGCGTGTGCAAATGCATAAATAACACTAATAAAAATAAAAGCTCGACAACGGCGATGCTATTTTAAGTTCGCACCTACAGCGGAGGGTGTGCGGAGTGGCGGGCTACAACAGTTACACACTTTCAGAAATCAGAAATCAGCTGAGTAGATAACTTGTAAAGCTGCTGATTTTGAGTCTGCAATCCTCCCTCCCCTGCGCCCACTACCATTCCACAAATTAAATCACCAATTGTTTGCTTCCCTGCAAAACGAAGCAAGTGGAAGAAAAAAGAGAAAGTAAAATATATAGAAAACTGCGTAAACGAGTTCAAGGTTGAAATTGCACATTTCAAAAGAGCGGGAAAGCGGACGGAAACGGATATCTAAACACCGCAACTAAACTGAAAAGCTGACAAACTGACAAACTGACAAACTGGCACCATTCGAAATCAACGCAAACGTAAGAGAATGGCTTTGATTCGTTGCTGCTTTGAGCCAGTGGAGCTACCGGAATTCTTTGATACGTTCATACAAAAGTGCACGGATCCGACATGTAAGTTTAAATAACAGAAACAAAAATAACAGAAAAATAAATGCATAAATTACCGAATTTCTCTAAGTGCCATGACAATTTTATTTCGCTTTTCTCTTACAAAATTTCGTACAATTTTCCACTCAAATTACCATAAAATTGCCATAACCGCCATGGACTTTTATGGAATATTTTTCTGCCCGAAGCGCCTTCAAGTAGTACAACGTTGGGGTACATAAAATAAAAGACCAGAAGGTGCAACTAATTTCAGGCATTAAACTGCAATTTGTGCATTTTGCTGTAAATAAAAAATATATTAAATAAAAACATTTAAAAGGTCAAATGTTATGAAAATATAAGAATTAAATAGGTTTATAGGTTTATAGGTTGAGGTGGAAATATGCACTGGATTACAAAACACAATTGTAGAAATTTAAAGTTGACGTCATATTTATCTTTAAATCATAAATCGATTTAATCAAAATTTGCAATGGAACTGTTTCATATTACCAAGGATTTCCTGATAATCCTTACATAAATGATTGTAAATGACTTGGATCATTATCCTCTTGGTATAGTTTTCTGTGTTCTTATTGCCTTTCATCGCAGAATTGAATGATCTTTTATTAAGCATTGTACATATATGTATGAGTAAGATTAGCCTCATAGAAGTACATATATGTAACCGGCATCGACTTTATAGGCAGATTCTGTTGTATCAGTTAACCAATAATTGTTCGTTTAAACCATGCAAGTGGCAAAAAGCATGGAGCTACACACTAATGAAAAATATAGTGTTACGAAGTGATGTCACATGGGCTCCAAGCATTTCCATCTACATAATTGTTCCAGCGCAGGTTAGTTCCTACCACATTTTTGCCTAATAATAAATTGGTTTCCCGATCTAGCATTTTTTTTACTCAAGTAAACTAAGAACACTAAATCAGAGTTTACTGAACCTTTATTTTGTTTATATATCTGCTTCTAGGTCATAGCACACAGATCATAATTGTAGCGTAATTGTAACCTCCATACCTCACATATGGAGACAAAAATTGTCTATTAAAGTTTTCTATCGAACTTAGCCATGAACTTAGCTATCATCATTATGAAAATACTACCTCAATTGCGGGGTCGATGCTAATTATTAGAATTACTTCTTATAGTGCACATTTCTGTAGGTATACTTCATTTAACTTGTGATATACACATGATGAGTAGATTTTTTTAATAATA